TTATGAACCCTTAAATCTTTAAGTCCACTTGCGTTTACAAGGTAATATCAGTGTTGAGAACCATTGCAGGAAATTAACTACTCTTCCTACTCATAAGCTTAAATTCCTGTGTGAGCGGTTGGACTGTAACTATGGCTTTTAAATGGTTCAAAATGGTTCAAATGGTTGCGGACGGAATAGAAGAAGCTTTCGCTTAACAGGCTTCCGTGTCTAGTAGCAGGGGATCACCAATACCTCCAGGCAAGAACCTAGGTATTTTAACGATAAAAGAGAAAGAAAATGAATTGGTAAATCATAGTAGGATACTATCCTTAGTCCTTAAGAATAGATCAAGTCGCCTCTTAAAGGACTCCTGGGAAGTTGCTTGGACTAGCTCAGCTGGCAGCGAGTTCCAGCATTTGACAACTCTTAAGGAGTAGAAATTGTGTCTGCAGTCCGTTCTACTATGTTGTATCTCCAGTTTTTGGGTGTTACCCCTTAGGTTAGTGTTGGGATTAAGCTTGAGTAGGTGTTTAAGAGGGTGTCCAGGTGTGTTAAGGATACTGTAAGCCATTAGAATGTCACCTCTAAGACGCCTATACTCTAATGGGTAAAGGTCGAGCGATTGGAGGCGCTCATCGTAAGGTTTAAATTTGAGTCCCCGAACTGATTTCGTGGCTCGCCGTTGGATACGCTCCAGAGTGTCCTTATCCTTTTGGAGTGTAGGAGGGAATACTATGTTCCCGTACTCTAAATGGGGACGAATGAAACTATTGAAGATTATGTGGAAAGTTCTCCCGTCAAACTGACCAAAAATGCGCTTCAATGTTACCAGTGCAAGGTTTGCTCTAAAGGCATTTTTGTCACAGTTGGCGTAAGCCTTTAAGTCGTAGGGCACCAGAACTCCTAAATTTTTTTCGACTCGGGATACTACTAGAGAGGAGTTTCCTAAGTTGTAACTGTAATCTGCGACGTGTCGCAGATGGACTACTTTACACTTTGAAGTGTTAAAGGTAAGTCCGTTATCATCTGCCCAACTTTGAAGTCGAGTCAGATCCTCCTGAAGTGCCTGTATGTCCTCTTGGTTGCGTATCTCTCTCCAAAGTTTCACGTCATCTGCAAAGAGCAATATGTCTGACGTTACCTGTTGAGGAAGATCATTTATATAAATCAGGAAGAGAAGAGGTCCTAGTACTGAGCCCTAGGGGACCCCACTAGTACATTCCATAGCCTGTGATAAATTGAAGTTTACCCTGACCTTAAAATGTCGATTTGTGAGGTATGAACTGAGCCAGTCAATTAAAGGTGGTTTGATTCCCAATCGTTTGAGCTTGTTAATAAGACATGTGTGGTTAACCCTATCAAAAGCTTTAGAGAAATCAAGGTAAATAATGTCTAACTTCCCCTTGCGATCAACGATGCTTGTCCATCTGTCCACCGCGGTCAGCAGGTTCGTCATACAGGAATAACCCTTCCTGAAACCATGCTGTTAGGGTGAGAAGAAATTTAAGGACAGCAGATAGTCATGTATATCATCGTATACCAGGGACTCCATGATCTTTGAAGGTATAGAGAGAAGGGCCACCGATCGGTAACTTGAAGGTTCACTGCGTCGACCTCCTTTGAAGATTGGTGTGATATGAGCCAGCTTCCAAATATCCGGTAGTTTGCCCCGACTTAGCGAGTGTGAGAACATCACGCTAAGCGGTGTTGCCAGGATTGAAGCTGCTTCCCTCAGTATAGCAGAGTGGACCATATCTGAACCAGGAGAAGTGTCTGTTCTTAGGTGTTGTAATTTACGGAACACCAAGTCAGCGCTCAGTTTCACTACGGAAAGTCCTGTGCAGTTGCAGACAGAGCCGACATCAGTATAGTTGATATGGGTCGGCTGAAATGTCCGGGAGTAGTGCTCAGCCAGAAGGTTAGCGGCGTCACCGTCATTATCTGTCGGGCCGTTAGGACCTAGCAGTTGAGAAACTCCAGTTTTGGCTTGACGAAGAGAGGCTGCATAACGGAATAAGCTTTTCGGATTGGAAATAAATTTATCCATAAGCTTTAACTGGTACTGAAGCCTGTCTTCTCTTATAGCCTTCGTACATATGTTCCTTATATGTTTGTATTGCCTGTACTCGCCGTTGTTGTTGGTTCGTTTGTATTCTGCCCAACAGTGCTTTTTACGGCTTAGCAAACGAAGAGTGCGTTTTTTGATGATTGTAGGTTGCTTGTGCCTTTTGGGGACCGTTTGAGGAGCTGACTGCTTAGTAGCACATGAGAGCGTGCGCAGTAAGGAGTCCCAATGAGCATCCACATCAAGTTGACGGTGAACATCCCAATCCACCTGTTGTAGATAATCCTGTAGAGCTGACGCATTCAACCGTTTGAAGTTCCAGCGCCTGTTGTTGTCGGGATATCTTAGCTCTGTTTTGCTGACGAAATTGAAGGCTATAACGGCGTGATCGCTTTTCCCCAGGGGAGCCAGAATTGAGAGGTTGTCGACTAGAAATTCTTCATTTGTAAAAACACAGTCTAAGCGCGACGGTGTCTGACCGTTCATCCAACGAGTGTACGACTTCACATTTTCGTGTAGTCCCAAGTCCTCAATGAGGTTGAAGAACCGAGCTTCGATTGAATTTTCACCTCCAGTATACGTATGTTCCGCGAAGTTGACTCTAGGAAGATTGAAGTCCCCTAGGATCAGGATATGAGTGAAGCCGAGACACGTAGAGCGGGATAGTCCCTCCAGCATGCAACTGTCATACTCGATGTCGGCAGTGGGCTTCCTATATATGACTCCGACTAGGCACCTCGAAGTAGTGGACAATCTCATAGAGCACCATAGGGATTCCTCAAGATGGTCAAACTCGTGGTTGTAGATTTGGTGTACCACCAGGCCAGATCTTATGTATAGGGCTACTCTACCCCCAATTCCTGTTTTTCTGTCATTGCGAAACAGAGACATCCCAGGTATTGCTAGCTCCTGGTCCGAATACTGAGGAGATATCCAAGTTTCAGATATTCCTATCAGATGAACTTTATTAGCGTTGCTGAGTTCACTTAGTTCATCCATTTTATTTGGTAGACTCGCGGCGTTCATGTATAAGCAGTTAATGCTTTCAATTTGAAACGCGTGAGCTTCTTCCTGTTTATCTATGAGAGCCTTGCGTGAGTGGACAGGTAACCCACCTATATAAGTTTTGTCAAATTGGTAGGCCCTGTCCTTTACACGTTTTTTTTGTCTTGAAGACAGTCCACAAGTGGAATGGTCAGTTCCAGCTTGCCTTTGTGCTTGATCCTGGCGTCGTATGGCCTATCCGGGTGCATATGGATCCCAGTTGGCAACCGACGTCTGTTGACACGAAATGCTTCCAGAGTTGCAGCCGCCATATGGGAGGATGGAAAAGTTATCCTCATTAGTCGGGGTCTAGGATCCCCATCCTTCTTGGCTAGTCTCATCACATGCTGAGACAGTATGTTTTTAAGCCTCAAGGACTGTTTGATGAATTTCCATTCCCGAATGTCAGAGTTTGCTTGAGTAGGGTCCATGTTTTCCGGCACACCTTGCACGATGATATTTCTTCCGCGGAAAAACTTCTCTCGAGAATCTTTAGGGACGTTTCGGATGAGATTGCGCTCAGAATATGGTATGTCAGGCAGTATTCTGACGTTCCCATCGGATTTCAGTAGATGACTGGCTAGCAGGACATCCTCTACTTCGGTAGCATTCTTGAGTGTTACACGGAGTAGTCTCGGGTGATTTTGATGTTTAGAATCCTTTCCCCGAGTGAGCCGTGTGACCGTCAAAGGCTCTATTCTAGGGAGTTCGAGCTTTTTGTTCAGTTCACCCCAAAGCATCCTGTCATTTTTGTCCTGCAAACTGAGAGGAAGGTCAGGATTGTCTATGAGGTTCATGATTATGAGAGAGTCGTCACGGACCGTTGTTGTTTTCCCAGCTCTTCCAGTGCGTTCAGGTTCAGTACGTTGTTGTTTGGAGGTCGAAGCAGGTTTTTGAATCGTAGGCTTTTTAATAACCGGGCGGACATTTTTGGGGGTAGACTGAGCGATCAAAGCACCAGTTGATGTCCGTACAACACTTGGTATGTCAACCTTGGACGGTGACACCTGGTCCTTATTAGCTCTGTTGGCGTGGGTACAGTCACCTGCAGAGTTTTTAGGAACCACTATTGCGTTTGAGGACCCTGAACTGGGAGATCCAATTTTAGTGAGGGAATCAATTATTGTCGACGTAATGATGGTGCTGAGTTTCAACATGTCATCATTAGTGCTAATGCGCGTTCCATCGATGGTTGACTTGTCAACATCCCTGTTCTTATTTTCGTTACGCGCCCTCGTTTGCCTACCTATTTTATGGCTATCTGTTTCCAAGTTTACTGACAATTTATTCCGCAGACCTGTCAGTAGAACAATGATATTGCTCAGCAGCACTACAGCGTCCGTGTTGCACGTAACGCACACCCACTTACGGTCCGATTTGCTGAGTCTCTTGTAAGCCGTTGCCGTAAGATCTGTGCACGTTTCGTGAAACCAACCTTTGCAGTTGTCACACTGCATGCCAGATGTAACAGCGAAACGGCATCCAGGTCTTTTACATGAATTTTTCATGGCTGTATTTACGTAAACTGTGCTAGAGATAGTATCAAAGCTTAAGACCGTTAAAAATACACTAAAAACCACACTAAAACGGGAAAAATGTATAAAAACGGATGAGATAAAATGAAATAGCCTTTACGTGAAAAACTGAAAATAAACCGAATAGTAAGCTGAGGCAAAACCGCAGTTAACTATTAAATTGGGTGAAACACAAAAAAAGTAATCTACCGAACTTATAGCTCAGAATAGATTGTTTAGATCAGAAATGGTACTTTTGTTGCGTAAGAACACAGCAAAAGTTTGAGAAATGCAAACCACGTTAGGACTAAACTTCCCAGTATGATTTCTTGCTCCACATTATACAGTAGCATATACTCTATTCTTTCTCTCTAGCGAAGAAGACAATAGTCTCGATGGGTGAAGAGAGCATGGTAGATGCGTTTACTTATAGCATTGATAATTTGAGGAACCGACCAACGATATCAGGCGTAGATTTTAAACATATACGACAACAACTCATTTGTTACCACTGATTGTTGTCAGTCGCTTTTATTCCTAGATGTAAGTGCATTCTATGTGGTTACTGAGTCAACTTATGAACTGTTTGACAAAAACTGAAAAGTGTAATCTCTATATTTACCTCTCAAACTCACTTCATAGATGGATGAGATTTTCGAACATTTCCATAAAGTATTTGAAGATATGACATTTTCAGGGTTCTTTACTCGTAAGTTTTGGGCAAGAATTCTATTGTTTTAATATAAAAGCAAAGTTCAGAGGTCAGTCACCACGTGATGAAATGCTACGCCGACCGGTATGTCTTCTATGTACAACAATGACATATTTTAGGAGAATGAATCAGATTATTTGCAAGTGCCAGAGCCGTGGATTCCTTTTCCCTTTTATGGAGACTTGGTCAGACCAGATATGATGGACAGAAAATTGTTTAATGAAACCTTGGTAAGTCCTTAAATTGAAATTAGGATGACATTGATGTTTGTTAAGTAGAAATAAGACGCTTCATGCGATGGTACTTTCTACTCTGTTCTTGAGTCGCACCATGTGTTCAGGTTCACGAGACCCATGATTATGGACGTAGGTAGACACTATAACTCTTGTTCTCTGATTATACGTTTCTACATCTGTAAACCCAAGCCCAGAAGCCTTCAGTGCTAAGGATAGGAAGTCTATCGACTTAAATTAATCCGTGTAACTTAAAACACTGGAGGTTCAATCTTTTTTTGAATGCATCAACAGAAGGTGCTGATGTTACGTGTCCCGGTAGAGAATTCCAGTGATTCACTACTGGTGCGAGAAACCGAATTCCAGACGTAAACGACTTGATTTCCGTTTTGAACTTTCTTGGTGTCCTATCAGATCATCAGTCCTAGATGGGAGGAAAATATAAGACATATATCAATATAATTTTTCAGTATATGGTAAGCCAGTATTAGGTCGGCTTGTCAAGCATAAAAAGGCCTCTCCTAAAGATACGTTATTCCCTGACTTAAAGACAGTTTTCTTCCACATAGTTTAGAATGGTTATTTAGACAGCTTTTTTCCGTTAGTTTGATAGTCATATTGGTAAGGCTGGCAGGTTGATAGTGGTTAACTAAGTCTCTACTCCCTTTATTGTGAACCAAATCGATAATCGCGTCTTTCCAGTTTCTTAGCAATTTAGACTGCCTCCAAGACATGAGACAGTTTTGCCAGAGTCCAGCTTTCAAAATGCTAGGATGAATATCGTCATTACCACCAGATTTATCTACTCTGAGATGTCGAAGTAATCTTAAGACAGTTCCTTTATCTAACTACAGGGTCCGTCAACAAGTCGCCCTGGTCAAGATTAATTGTTAGTCGTCCTTCATTGCCTGTAGAAAACACTACTGAAATATTCCGATGGATCTACAGCTTTTTTTGGCATAATCTGTTGCCAATATCAACTGATTTTCTCTGAGTTCGCCTCTATATACGAGAATGACCTTTTCGGATAGTGTTCACAATCTCTAACCAGTTTTTCATATGACTGTCTAGTCTTATTAACGCTTTACACGCATTCCTAGTCTTAAAAACGCTTGATCTATGCTATTCTAAGCCTGTAGGGATGATCATATTCCAATACGTTTTCTTATGCCTAAGAAGTTTCTTGACTTGTTTGGTTATCCATGGTGGTCAGTCAGCTACAAGATAGGACCAGGATTATATATGCATCGGTTCAAGTTGCCATACCGCATTAGCACAACAAGATGAACACCGGATTCATAGAAGTAGTTAATTCAGTGGTGGTAATATATAGAAGAAGGATTGCATATAAGGAGATAGTGCAGGAAGATAGAATTAGTTCGTAGAAAGAAAGATTTGAAGTGATTTTAATCTCTTAGTTTCCTAGATCTTGACTAAAAAATGGAACAATTATTGTCGAAGACGTAGTTTTTAGCGTATTTAAATTCACTAGTATATTCAAAACTAGCCGGGTAATTCTTCAAACAATATTACTTTCTTATACGATTAATTCAATCTGAAGAGCCATTATATTTTTTCTGCTCTTGTCAGTCTCATTTTATTTATTTGAACACAAATATCGGTACAAGGGGGCACCAAATATATATGCGCCACACAAAACAATGAGAATTTAAAGAGAAAAAAAATGTAAGGAACGTAGGGAATTATAAAAAAAAAAAGAACAAATGCGAGCGAAACGAAAAGGTACAATCAGAGGAAATCTTGCATTTAAGGAAGAAGCAACCACTCCTTACGAAGAATATAAAAGGTTACAGCAGGATCGCCACTGGCTTCTATTCTGGTCAGTCAGTCAGCTGCAACGTAGGACCAGGCACACATATGCATCGGTTCAAGTTGCCATACCGCATTAGCACAACAAGATGAACACCGGATTCATAGGAGTCACATCAAAGGTAGTACTATATAAAAGAAAGATTGTGTATAAGGATATAACAAAGGAAGAAAGAATTAGAACGTAAAAAGAAAGACATGAAGCGATTTACATGTCTTAGTTTAAGGGAAGACAGAAAGTGTATGCACCGACGCCAGTGTGATCGATTCTAGGACATGTCGCACAGAGTCTCTAACAATTGGTTACGATAGTCACGCGGACCCCAATCAAGTAGTATGCATCTACTAACATGGCTCAGACTAAAAGTTAGTGACTTCAAGCACTGATGCCACGTTTTGGTTTGGCCGCCCCTAGCTTTTTTCCAATTATCCCCAACACCAGTTATCATTGCGCGTCGTGGTAATCGGTGTTCAGGCATACGCAACACGTGGCCCAACCATCTTAGTCGATGAAGATTCACAACCTCATAAACTGATTTACCATCATTCCCTAATACCCTGCGTCTAACCTCACTATTGCTTACACGGTGATCCCAGCAATATTTCTAAGGCATCTGTAGTCAAATACTAGTAGCTTACGAGTATCTTCTACTCTTTATGGCCAACAACTGCGTATCCTGCGAATTTAAACGTACTCTTGTGTACAATTGTAGTTTGAGTAACATTGTAATTACCTGGATTTTGTAATTTTACTGGTTTAAGCAATATTTTAATGTAATTTGGTATAAATCAAACACAGGCGTTCAGTGACTTGCATTTAAAAGCCATTCCTTGGTTTTTACTATCATGAAAATTCCCATATGTACTATGATAACGTATTGGTTATTTTCTCCTGTATTTGTTCGGTAATTTTCTTGAGATTTTCATCGTGCAAAAATCTCAGACAAAAGACAGTATACGGTTCACTTATGATTATTTATCAGACAAATTTCTGTTACTTGTAGTTTCCATTTTCAACTGTCGATGAGTAAAAATGAAGTGAAAACCCTATCAGAAATTTTTTGCATCAAACGGTGACCTGCTAAATTAGTAATACTTAGAGAATTGAATATGAATTTAACAAGTATGTGACTAATGATTTTTCGAGGGGTGGTAGTGTAACACAATAATAACCTCCCCATTACATGTACCAAAAAGAACACTCCTGATTGAAGGTTGATGTAGTAGTTGACATCAACAGTAACTCAGTCACTATTCACCAATTAGGAAAAGTAATATGAAGATTTTGGGTACAGCAGATGCGTTTACTCGACTTTTGTAGCTTTTCATGTGTGAATGAGGAGTAAATCATGAGTAGGTTTCATGCAGTGTGTAAACCAAGAGTAGGTATCTAAAACACTCATTTTTTCAGATACGATGAGGTAAGCAGCTAGTATAAAGGTCTACTTGTTACCTATGTAACTACGTATAGTTGATTGTTTGGAGTTGTTTCCTTAATCATAACCCTACTTTCAAACCCATTCCGTCTTCTTTTTGTTAAGAAACATAACAGAATGCCATTGAAGTCATGAATCAACCTAAGTTAGACCACTATTAAAGGCTTGGAAGCACTAGATGGCCGTTTCTTCCTTTTATGGGACTTGTCAGCAGTGCGCAACCACGACCCTGCTCATAGTTTCTCATTAAAACTCCGGGCATTCCCTCTGAAAGCTAGGCACTAGTGAGCACATGATAATTATCATGATACACTTAGATGCTTCCTAACCATTACCGCACGCCGCTATTCATTCATCAGTTTTGCTGTTACCAGTCACCGCGACAACTAAGGCGAGGTGGTTCTTATGTGGACGGCTTTAATTCTTTATTGTTCTCGGTGTCGACTAATGTAAGTTTTTATGCACTAATTGTTCCAGATGATGACGAAAAAATACGGACTTTTAATGCTTGGTAGTCTTCGTAGCTTTCAAACAACTGTTCCGAAGGACAGTATTGAAGCAACTGTCAGTTACTATCGTAATTCTCTCTTATTACGACCCAGCTATTTCTATTGCTTAGTATTCTTGGACACCAATTCACTCAACGAGTCCTTAAATCAGGACGCGGTTGAACAGAAACAAAATTACATCCCAAATAACAAGTGTAGATGGAAGTAAGAAACACAATAAGGAAAACGTTAGTATATTTATAGTTTTTACATGAGAAGATTCCGAAGTCTTCTCCAAGTGTCGACTAGTGCTGATTTGATAAGAATTAGCCAGTCAGCGTGCACTAACGCAATCATGCATGGAACATGCTTTAATCCCATCTATGTCCCGCTAACAGTTACTATTTAATCGAGAGTTGTACTCTCCATCCTAGGATTGTCATATTCACAGAGCTAATTCATAATCTTATTTTGAGTTCTCAAAAGAACATTGATTCTCCGAAAGAACAGGTTAGAAATGCTTTAACTATCCTAGTAAAAGGCAAATTGCTGGAAGTCAGAGTAGATTTTCTCCATAATCATATTCTAGGTTCCGAATATTTCTAGTAATAGTGTAAAGATTAAAGTTTAACAAGTGTGTGAATAAATAATCAAATATATTGGAAATATTTGAGGTTACTCCAAGGCTTTCCTTTTTTTGCAGTACAGAGGGAAATATCATAAACTGCTTTATGTTTCAAGTCTAAATTCCCTCTAAAGCGAGGGAATTAATAAAATCCAACGCTCCCAATGGGGTCGTACAGAATTGTTAACAACTGATTAACACCCCTTTGTCCTTTAAATTAGTTCTTGGTATAGGTATTAGTTTGAGAACATTGTAAAATCCATTACAACGTCACCTTCAGGCTATCACTGTTCTGCATGTTGTTTACACTAGGAAGTTAGCTGTTTTCGGTTGTACCGATATTTAGCCGACATAAGTTGTAATAAAACTTACAGTAGTTGGAGTCCTAGTAATTGCAATTCGAGTTGGTAATCGTGAATTTTATACTCTACTCAGCCAGGACAAACTATGGAGCATGTTACTAAAATAGGTTTCGTTTTTTTCCTCTAGTTGGTTGTAGTCGACTATTCATGAAGGTGCCTACTGTCCTACATAATTATTTGCTCAGTAAATGCGAAGGTACCCTGTGGTTTTCAATTTTTGTTATACTATGACTAATTACTCATTGATTACCACTAAGACACTGTCGAGCTTATCCTAAATATCTACTGTGTCCCAAGGAAACTTGTAGTGTAAAATGTGCTGTAAGAAGGTTATTGTGAATAAAATTCTTTTTGGACCATTGTATATCAGGATAGTAGATGTTATTAAAAATGACCACAGAAGTTTCTATAAGCCATCACAGAGAAAGTAAGTTCGTGAATTTATATATATAACACCATAATGTGTAGTTACATTTTTACAATACGGGCTACCATTTCGGTAGTTGTCCCAATGAAGTAATCTGAACAGTTAGTCAGCCTTTTTTCGGCTTGAAGTATATTTCCTATTTAAACCATTGCGATTACTTGAATATTCAAGAGGATTAATTTGTTTGTCTACCATTAATTCATTTGATCTTCTTAATTCTAGAAGCAAATAAATCCTCCTGACTTTAAAAAAGGAGACATTATCATTGATGGTCAACCAACTAATGCTCCGTATGCTGAGAAGCGTGACTCATCAGTACGTAGTTGGGTCAGTTCTTTCACCAGCAAAAAACTCATAGTGAATAACGGCGTAAGTTTTAATGTTTAAAACCAATTGATTTAGCTTCATAAATATCTGATTTTCTAATACAGATTTTGTCAATTAGTCTGTTGCTGCACATCGAACTTCCCTCCCTGAGTCACCGCTGATAACTTTTAAGCTTATTGGCTATTCATAGCCTAGTGTATCACTTGAAACTACAAGAGAAGAACCCGACCGTTGTTGCTACCTTGACGTGGTGGTCGGGCTTGCCTATCGTGGTGAAACAACTGAGCTATACTGGCTGGAACAACCGTTCCTCAAGGTCCTACCATGCCAGACAGGTCGGTTGAAGAGCGGTAAGACTAAAAGCAACAAAACCAAGGTCCGAAGGCGAAGTCGTACTGCTGACTGTACAGAGGTGTGACAGCAGTAAGATGTTTCCTTCAGACAACCAGCATAACAGCGATGCTGCCTTCCCAAAAGGAGGGGAGGGGTTAGAAAAGGTCAACCCTAAAAATGCACACCTCGCCTTATCCCATGGATATCCGTCTCCGGCGGTAAGGTCTCAACAAGTACGGAGCTAACACAAAAATTACTCATAAAAAGGTCGTGTGTGACCGACCTCAAGCAGCTGTCCCTTGGGCACTGCGGTCACGCTCTCAGGTCACTACGACCACCTCTAATCCAATTTCCTTTTCAGGTACCTCCAGCAGAACCCTTCCACGGTGTGGGCAACCGGGAAGTGATAACCGCCCTCATACCTCTAACAGCACCCAAGACCACTGTATTCATAATCAACCTCCCTCTTCAATTCCTATTATTCCTCCCACATCGACTTTCAAACCTAAACTTCCTCCTCAAGTACCACCACAGCCAACGATTCTAGTGCGCAAAACGCTGTCCCAGGTCTACTGAAACCTCGCTCCAAACTACACATTGGAGCCTTCAACGAACGCACACTATGTCAAATCGGTCAGCAGGCATCCTTGGCTAAAACCCTAGAATCTCGTACCATTGATGTATGCTGTGTCTCCGAAACACGCATACAGGATCCTAGTGTGGTCATTCACTTGACCTCACCTCGGCAAAACGGAGTGCCGACGAGATACACCCTCCGTGTATCTGGCGACCCGATGGCTAGTTAACATGGACTGGCAGGTGTAGGCATAGCACTAAGCATGAGAGCGGAAAAGCGCTATGAGAATGGATCTCCGTTAACAGTCGTCTATGCGCTGTTCGGCTAAACAACCCCCAAATGCCCTGGTACAGCCGAGAGTGGGGAGAGTCCGCTCTCCCTCTCAAAATGCTCTCACATGGCCACGCGTATATAGCCTCTGTCAGGGAAGTCCTACTCACTGCCTTCTCGTGGCGGGGGTGTTGTTTACGAAAATGAGAGGACGAAAAGCGAATGTCCGGCGCTTTAACCGGATCTCAAACCAATGGTGCACATGGGCTCCAGTATCCTGAAGGAACAAATGGCGTATGAACCAATAGTTGGTTACCGGCTACCATGGGACTGCATCTCCTTACGATGCTCCACTGCCTTGTGAGTCAGACGTTCAGGTCGAAGGCTCGGGGTGTGGCCTCCTAAGAAAACCATCTGCTTCGGTTTGGGCGCCCCCAAATGCCCTGGTACGGCCGAGAGTGGGGAGAGTCCGCTCTCCCTCTCGAAATGCTCTCACATGGCCATGCGTATATAGCCTCTGTCAGGGAAGTCCTACTCACTGCCTTCTCGTGGCGGGGGTGTTGTTTACGAAAATGAGAGGACGAAAAGCGAATGTCCGGCGCTTTAACCGGATCTCAAACCAATGGTGCACATGGGCTTCAGTATCCTGAAGAAACAAATGGCGTATGAACCAATAGTTGGTTACCGACTACCATGGGACTGCATCTCCTTACGATGCTCCACTGCCTTGTGGGTCAGACGTTCAGGTCGAAGGCTCGGGTTGTGGCCTCCTAAGAAAACCACCTGCTTCGGTTTGAGCACCCGAGCAGTATCACAGCACTCACACAAATCAATTGAGATTTGTGTGGTGCATATGTACTTGGTGCCTCCTTGTACCTATACCTATGTGTTAAAATAAATAAATAAATAATAAACAGCTCCGTAAGAACCCGGTAAGATAGGGACACACGTCGTTTCTGCCTACGCTCCCACTGACTGCAGTTCGGATGAAGTGAAAGATGAATTTTACAGAAAACTCTGAACTTCTTCAGAAAGCTAAACGTTCAGACATAGCACTCATAGCAGGTGACTTTAATGTCCAGGTAGGTAGCTTAACAGAAACAGAAAGACATTTAGGTGGGTATTTTAGTATTCCGGTGCAGCGAACAGATAATGGTGATCGTCTGCTGCAACTGTGCTCAGACAATCGTTTATTTTTAGCAAACACAAATTTTAAGCATAAGGAGAGACATCGTCTAACATGGCGACCCCCCTGCACCAAACCAACGATGGACTCAAATAGACCATATTGCCATCAGTCATCGTTGGAGAGGGTCGATAGAAGATTGTCGCTCATTCTGGAGTACCTGCTTGGACTCCGACCATGCCCTAATACGAGCACACATCTGCTTGCGCCTCACTGGACGCAAAAAAGCCACACAAAAAAGACCCATTAGAGCTGAATCGAGTAACGAAAAAAGCAAAAGTAGGTTCCGAAAACGACTGAGGTCACACTTAGGTAGTTCTGAAAACGAGGCTGACCCAGATGTTGCTTGGAAAAATATACGAACAGCTGTGGAAACAGCACTGACATCTATTAGTGATTTAAACCAAAGGGTTCAGTCAGCTGCAACGTAGGACCAGGCACGTATGTGCATCGGTCCAAGTTGCCATACCGCATTAGCACAACAAGATGAACACCGGATTCATAGAAGTAGTTAATTCAGTGGTGGTAATATATAGAAGAAGGATTGCATATAAGGAGATAGTGCAGGAAGATGGAATTAGTTCGTAGAAAGAAAGATTTGAAGTGATTTTAATCTCTTAGTTTAAAGGAAGACAGAGAGTGTATACACCGACGCTATTGTGATCGATTCTGAGTCATGTCACCAAGAGTCTCCAACCATTGGTTACGATAGTCACGCGGACCCCAACCAGGTAGTCTGCATCTACCAACATGGCTCAGACCAGAAGTTAGTGACTTCAAGCACTGATGCCACGTTTCGGTTTGGCCGCCCCTAACATTTTTCCAGTCATCCCTAACACCGGTTACCATTGCGCGTCGTGGTAATCTGTGTTCAGGCATACGCAGCACGTGGCCCAACCATCTCAGTCGATGAAGGTTCATAACCTCATAAACTGATTTACCATCATTCCCTAATACCCTGCGTCTAACCTCACTATTACTTACCCGGTGATCCCAGCAGATACCCGCAATATTTCTAAGGCACCTGTGGTCAAATACTAGTAACTTACGAATATCTTCTACTCTTAAAGGCCAAGTTTCGCAGCCGTATAGTAGAACGGAACGAACTGCCGCGCAGTATACTCGTCCCTTAATTGATAGACGGATATCTCGCCTTCTCCATAGATGACGTAAGTTGGCGAAAGCTAAACGGGCTCTTCGAATCCGTGCTGAGATTTCGTCAGACACCAACCCATTAGGGTTGATCAGACTTCCAAGATAAGTGAAGTTGTCGACGCGTTCGACTACTTCACCCATTCTCCTTAGTTCAAGTGTTGACGCAGACCAGTCCTGAAGCAACAACTTGCATTTAGAGGGAGAGAAGAGCATCCTAAACATTCTGGCATTGTTGCTCAGTGCTAACCAAAAGACTCTGCATTTCATCAGCGTCTTCACCAAACAGGACTATGTCATCTGCGTATTCTAAGTCAATAAGTGGACCTCCTGGTAGGAGATCAATACCTGAGAATTCAGTCGACGAGAATGTTATCTCCATCAGTAGATCTATTATGACGGACACCACTTGAGGTTGCAAAAGAAGATGACAGTTCGCCATAAGCTTTGACTCGACTAGTAGTGTTCGAGTAAAGAGCCTTCACAAGGTCTGACTCACATTTGATTTATTAATTCCAGTTTCTTTTATTAGTCTGTAGAGTTGTCTTGTGTTCCTTATAGCCGCCGCCTTTTCCATCGCTTTTGTTTTCGTTGCCCACCACTGCTCACGATCGTTCCTTAGACTTTTGCTTAACCTAAATCTGATTTCTTTACGCTCTTCATCGTGTTCAGAACCTGATGGGATGAGTTTACGAGAATCTATCAGTGCAATAGACCTTGAAGAAATCCATTGGTTCTTTGTAACCCTGTGGTTTAAATCACTAGTAGATGTCACTGCTGTTTCCACAGCTGCTTGTATGTCTTTCCAATCAACATCGGCGTCAGCCTCGTTTTCAGAACTACCTAAGTGTGACCTCAGTTGTTCCTGGAACCTACTTTTGGTTTTCTCATTACACAATTCGGTTCTAATGAGTCTTTTTTGTGTGGCTTTTTTGCGTCCAGTGAGGCGCAAGCAGATGTGTGCTCGTATTAGGGCATGGTCGGAGTCCAAGCAGGTACTCCAGAATGAGCGACAATCTTCTATCGACCCTCTCCAACGATGACTGATGGCAATATGGTCTATTTGAGTCCATCGTTGATTTGGTGCGTGGGGGCGCCATGTTAGACGATGTCTCTCCTTATGCTTAAAATTTGTGTTTGCTAAAAATAAACGATTGTCTGAGCACAGTTGCAGCAGACGATCACCATTATCTGTTCGCTGCACCGGAATACTAAAATACCCACCTAAATGTCTTTCTGTTTCTGTTAAGCTACCTACCTGGACATTAAAGTCACCTGCTATGAGTGCTATGTCTGAACGTTTAGCTTTCTGAAGAAGTTCAGAGTTTTCTGTAAAATTCATCTTTCACTTCATCCGAACTACAGTCAGTGGGAGCGTAGGCAGAAACGACGTGTGTCCCTATCTTACCGGGTTCTTACGGAGCTGTTTAGCCGAACAGCGCATAGACGACTGTTAACGGAGATAGAAAATATTCGTTTCTCTCCGACTAACATTGAAATGACTGGTATTATTATTATTATTAT